GCTAATTATTCAAACCATGAATTTCATGAAGTCTACAAAAAACCGTTAAGTCATGTCTATTGTTTAATAGATTATTATTATTTAGAAACTTATTATTTACCTAACCAGTTCTTTCCTATTTTCTATATATTTTCTCATATATATATATATATATATATATATATATATATATATATATATATATATATAATTATTTATATATTATATGCGCTTCTATTTATTAGAAAGCGCTCAATATCAGAGATAGAGCTAACATATTTGGTTGGATTGATGTGAGTTTGTGACCCTGGGTTTCAGGCTTTTGCGATCGTCAGACAAACTGATTAATTTTTTTTTAAATTTGGGTTTATGTACATTGCGTGTATTGCTGTTATGGGAGTGGGGGTATCGTCGTCGTGATGTCATCGTGCTAACGCAAACATAGATGCATGTCCGTACATCAGATGAGGTACGCAGACACACATACACACTTGCTTGTCCGTCGGGACTCATACATATATAAACATGTGGACAGTTTCGGATCTGACATATGTATGTATATGGGTGTCATTTGTATGTTGAAATTCAAAGATTGTCTTGTCTCAGTATATTAATCGCTTGGTTTCTCAAACGATACACTGCATTTAAGCATATATAGATTTTATAAAAATTAAATAATCATGTGAGTTCCAACATAAGCTGAATATAATATTGAAAATATAAAGCAATCTCAACAATCTTAGAATTAAATCTTTCACACGAACGTACACAGATGAACACAAGCATATACTTATGCACATACATATCCATAAAAATGTTTCAATCATTTTACCCCAAGCAAGGCAGTAAAGCCACTAAGACGTCGGCGTTTACCGGATGTTAGAGAATACAGAAAACATTATTAAGAAGAGAGAACAATAACAGAATAGAAATAAAGAGGGTAGAAGATAATACATTAACATTGCCTTTACATTTCAAACTTGGCTGGGGAAGAAAGAAGCCGAAAAAGATTTCCACGGGCGTGAAGAACGATCGAAGCAAAGATGACCATTGAACTGTTTCCAATGTAAAATGAGGAGACCTTGCCACCCCTCTAGTACTGCGCTGAATTTCCATAGAGTCTACGTACCATAGAGGAAAGTTGATTAGAACAATAGCAATTAAATATATATATATATGTGTGTGTGTGTGTGTGTGTGTGTGTGTGTGTGTGAAAAACATATAGAAAATAGGAAAGAACTCGTTAAGTAAATAATCCAAAGTTCTTTAGTATTTTTGTTATTATTTTTTTAAAATAGTGTTCGATACAAAAGTAGAGCATAAATATAATTATTTTTTTAAAAATATGATTCCAACACGCTACATAAGAGTTTTCATGTTTCAAAACAAGAGCCGAAAACTTCAATATAATTATTTGAATTAAATTGAATTAAAGTACTAAGCTTTGTTCCATTTTCAAGCGAAATTTATTTTGGAATAACTTATTTCTAAAATTTACGCGTTTTATAAGCATATTAATTTTTAAAATCAAATTATATATATATATATATATATATATATATATATATATATATATATATATATATATATATATATACGTGACGCAGAGAAACAATGATATTGCCGAATCATCTTTGTATTTTATCAAGTATATAGAAAGCACGTGACCAGATGTGGCGGCTATATTCAAAACCTGGACGAATGCTATAATAATAAACATATATTTTAACACACACACGCATACACACAAACACACACACACACGCACACTCACACAAAAACTATACTTAGGCGACGGATTTGAATAAGTTCATCAGTGGACGAAATGCGTCGGATCTGCTAAATATAGCTTTTCTCTTCTGTTATTTATTCGTTTTGTCTCTTGTACAGATACATTCAATTTGAGAATATGTACACGTATATACATAGATGCATTTATACATATATATATATATATATATATATATAAGTGTGTGTGTGTGTGTTTGTGTGTGTGTGTATGAGCCATAATTATATGTATTATACAATATTTTGTAACATGTAATTTCTACTTGTTAAAATATTAATTTCCCTAGGCATAACCTGAGAGCTTTTCTTAGGAAATAGAATTAATTTCATCAATTTCTCTGTTGGCTTCTGAAAGGAGAAGAACCTTACTTTGTATGTGAAGATTTAATTAGCTGTGTTGGGACGAATATTATTGTCATGCGGACATCCTTACACTCGAGATGATGTCATTCTGGAAGACTTATTTACCGTATATTATATCATATAATTTGCATTCTCTTAAAGAAAATATAGTAAAAATCAACCAGTATTTTACTATATAATGCTTTAATTTTAGCTCCTACTCTCACTTTTTTCTAGGCAGATTCTATAAGAATATTTACTGAAGCCATATTATTAATATTTTTAATCATTTCACCTAAAGCAAGGCAATAAAGCCACTATGACGCAGGGAGTTAGTGAGAGTTAGAGAATATGAGAAAATGGTTATTAAGAAGAGAAAAAAAATAAAAGA